AATTTAATGTACTATGTGTTGAATTGATTATGTTAAGAACCAATATTCTTAGAGAATATTAGATGTTATTTGATTTCATTTTAGTAATCCGATTTTTATATATATTGCAGCGTATTAATCTATTGAAGATGATGAACGTCATACTTCAAGAGGGTTTTTAAATCATTTCATGGGAAACAAGAATGTAGATCGTGTTGGCTATTTTAAGATGATGAGGTGATGAAAATTGATGAACAAAGGAGAAGAATGTAGAGTTTTTGTATTCCACTTTTCCCTTTTAGCAAACAAATTCTTAAAGATTAATGCAACATATATTATAAATTTTTTATATTCTTTAAGATTTTAATATGTATTACAAACAGTTTCTTAAAGAATGTAGTATAAAAGGTTTTTATATTCTTCAAAATGTTGAATACATTATTGTTTTATGTTATAAAATTTGTTGTTTTACATTATAAGAATAGTTCTTATTGTTATATTATATATTCTTAATTACACGTGTATTCTTTAAGAATATTTTCTTTTGGTGCAAATTGTTATTATTCAGAATAGATGCATTCATATTATTTAATAATGTATAATTTTCACAAGAATCTCTTAAAGGAAGTCGTATTCTTTAAGAATGAATTCCTTATCCAAAAATCATGAAAAAAAATCTGAAAAAACAAAAGTTCTTAAAATTTAATTATTTACAAAATGAGCATAATCACGGAAATTTGAAAAAAAAATATATTTTCTATCTTTTTATAAAAAACCCCCAAAAAAATTATCCAAAAATCATGAAAATTTAAGCGATACTTCTACTCATTATACTAGTGATTTTATATAAAGAAATTTTCAAAAATAAGTTTTTGAAGTGTTTATTTTTAATTTTAAGAAATATTAGTTTTTTTAAAAAAAATGTTGAACATAATATGATCCAAAATGTGATGATCCAATATTTATGATTCAAAAGAAACTTTTGACTCAACTTCTTTATGATATTAAATTGTTATGATCTAAAAATATTTAGATTCAAATATTTTATAATTCTTAGTTATATATTTTATGATTCAAAATTTTTTAAAAAAAATTCTAACATATATAATGACCTACAACTTTTTTTGAACAAAAACTTCAATTAATTAAATATATCATTGATCGAAAATCATATGATTCGAAAATGATATGATCCAAAATAATTTGATTCAAAATATTTTGATCCAAAAATAATATGATACAAAAATAGTATGAAGGGAAAATATTATTATCCTTAGTACTTTTATTATTTAAACTTTTATAATTGTTAAAATTTAAAAACTCGAACCGATATTTACTTTAAAAATCCAAAAAAAAAAATCAAAAAATAAGAACAAAAATAAACAAAAACATTAGAACCTTCAAGTATGTAGTAAAGAATTTTAAAAAATTAAAAAAATGAAAAAAAGTGGAAAAAGAAAAAAGTTTAAAATTTTTTAGAAAAAAATCGAAAAAAAACATAAGAAAAAAAAATAAAAACCTAAAAACTGAGCAGATATATGTTTAAAAAAAATTTGAAACTTTTTTTGAAAAACAAAAATAAATAGAAAAAAACTACTTAAACGACGTTCAATTGACATTCGTCGCATGTGATTAAAGTTCTTGAGTCCGTATTAATTACCAAGGACGTGGGTCGCGCGTGAATGCGCAACGCCCAAATATTGGGTTTGACGTTTGTGGCCTTGACGAAATACGTAGTGAAGAATTGTTATCGTAGTTCTCATGATTTTTTGAGTCCTCAAAAGTATATAAAAATGATGAAAAGAAAAGTATTACAAAAATTATAAAGGAAATAATGAATTTTTAGTAGATGAAATATGTGTTTATACAAGGCATGCATGAGAGTCTTAGAAAATAAAAACATAGAGAAATAAAGAAAGTTTTGGGCTATCAAGTAATTAAACTTACAATCATAAAATAAAAAATTCTGTGCCTTTTTTTGCAACCAAGTTAGGAATATTGAGGTTCTATATTTAATAAACATAATTTTATACTTACACAATTAATTATAAATATAACTAAAATGCATAAACATAATTTTATACTTACACAATTAATTATAAATATAAATAAAATGCAAAGTTGGATATATAAATGATTTTTACTTAGCTAAAAATACATTTAAAAAACACATTGTATATGACTATATGCGCATAATGGACACTTCATATGGTATTATATGATGTCATATTCAATCATGTTGTATAATTTGTTACTTGGGACACTTGGAACTCTTTAATTTTGTAAAATATTAATTTTTTTTCTTTCATTTTCTAAACTTTTTTGAAAATGCATTTTCCACCTCACTATTTTTTAAAATGTTATTTTAACCAATGAACTTTGAACTTTATAAAATATCATTTTTACTACCTTTATTTTTTAAACTTTCGTGTTTATTCCTCGTAATATATAATATGGTTTTCTTTAATAACTTTCATTTCTTAATTTAAAAAAAAACTAAATTTTTTATTTGTTTTTTCATATATGTGTCGTTTTTTATGTATATGTCGGTATAAATACGAGTTTATTTACGTCTCGCCATAAATTTTGTGTATGATTACGTGTTTTTTTAATCTAGTTTGAAGTGATGTTACACTTCTTTTTGACGAACTTTTGTTCTTACGTTTTGGTTGTGGTCATTTTTAGTCTTTGTTTTTATACCATTGTATTTTGATCTATGTAATGGTCCTATATTCTTGTGGCTTATTTAAAAACCATACAACTTAAAAAAAATAGTCTATAAACTCTTTTTAACTTTTGATAATTCATCAGATGCTCATTTTTTTTAAACTTTTAGTGTTTTAAGATGCTATGATATGCTATACTGGTTTAATCAATTTTCATGTCTAATACACATGAAAAGCACGTAACAAATCGCAGCAAAGCATGGGCTCAAATACTTAGTTATTTTAATTTAGAAAGTCTCTTGGGTTGTACTAAGACATGATGGTATATCATCTCTTTACATTTCACTTTTTTTTGCCTATTCATTTTTCTTCACTTTCCATTCACTCTTTAATTAAATTTCAAGAAATTGTCACATTTTGTTAGCCCTTATTTTTAATTTTTTTATAAAAATATTTTTTATAAGAATATTGTATTTGATTTTACAAAATTAAAAACAATACATTTTAATTTATTTTTTATATTTTTTTTGGATATATATATAATATATATATATATATATATATATATAATTAAATATTATAAAAACTTAAAAAAAAAAAACAAATCCAAGCCTTGAAAAATAAGGGAAGGAAAGAGACACCACATGAGGATAAACCGCACCCAAGATGTGTTGCTGGGTGCATTCACAAACCGTACTATGCGGTTTCCAGGATACCGTCTGGCCTAATGTTATGTTTAATTTGTAAGAACTTGAATAGTTGTGACTTGTGAGTTTCAAAATTAATAATTTAAAAGAAATGATTTATGTTAAATTTGGGTAACATATCTTATAAGATTAATAAGGATAAAGATTTGTCATATTTATTATATGTTAAAAGAAATATGCTAAACCGACTATCGGGTCTATTTTTGTCGGTGACATCTGCCTGAAAAAGGTCGTTTTTGTGCCCATGTAGTTCTGTCGGATGTCTAGGTATTATCTTGACTTGGATTAGAGTTTAAACTAGGGATGAGATTTAGAACCGGAAAACCGGAACCGTTAGAACCGGAATATATAGAATCGGTTCCGGTTCCGGGTTTAAAAATTGGCTTTATCCGGGTTCCGGGTAATCCGGGTTTGGGTCCATCGGGTCCGGGTAAACCGGGTCAAAAAACCGGAACCGGTGTTTGGAATCGGAACCACTTTTAGGACCGGAACCGGTTTTTGTGAAACGTTTAAAAGATGCATATCTCATTCGTTTCAACTCCGATTGACATGCGGTTTTTTTCCAACATGTAGTTTAGAGTTTGTACATGATTTTAGACTATACATTTTCCATATTTAGTTTTATATTCATTGACTTACAGTCCCCTAAAGTCGAGATATCAAAGCTGGAAGTTTTTAGTTTTTCAGTATTTTTGTATTCGGTGAAAGTTTTAAAACATGCATATCTAATTCGTTTGAAGTCGGATTGACATGTGGTTTTTTTCCAACTTGTAGTTTACAGTTTGTACACGAGTTTAGACTATAATTTTGTCATTTTTGGTTTAACATTCAATGATTTACAGTCCTCCGAAGTCGGGATATTAAAACTGGAAATTTTAAACTTTTCAGCTATTTGTTTTTGTACTTTGTATTATGTGAAAATGTTAACACATGCATATTTCATTCGTTTAAAGTTGGATTGACATGCAGTTTTTTCAAGAGTGTATTTTAGAGTTTGTACATGATTTTAGACTATGATTTTGTTAATTGTGGTTTCATATTCAATGAGTTACAGTCCCCAAAAGTCGGGATATCAATATGAAAATTTTCAAAGTTCAACCCACTAACTAGTAAGTAATTACCAAAAAATTCCGGTTTTTCCGGTTCTAAACCCACTTTATCCGGTTCCAACCTACCCACTTTGATGTTTCCGGGTTTTTCGGTTCTAGACCACTTTACCCGGAACCGTACCCGGAACCGAACCGGAACCGGTTCCTATATACCGGTCCGGTTTCCGGTTCTACAAAATCCCGTTAACCGGTTCCGGGTTTTCCAGGTCCGGGTCCATCCGGTCCGGGTTTGGACCCACTTTCATTCCTAGTTTAAACTATAGGCGGCGGTCTCAATGAATCTTCATCGTAGGCATCTGAATACGATCACTGTTAAAATTGAGTTTTGAGCAAAACGGTCTTACATAAAGAAACTTATTTGATCATACAAAACATATCAATTAGACCACCGAACGATCCTTTAAACTTTGTTTTAAAAGAACTGGACAATGATCATGGGATTCCCAAAATTGGAAGAAAAAAAAAAAAAAAAAAAAAAAACAATGGGGTCTTTTATCAATATTTTATGCAACCCAATTAAAAACCTACTCTCGCCCTAATTAACAACTTTCCACCATCGCTTTACTCGAACTCCGACCGACATCATCTCCTGATCCATCCAAAATCCACTCGAACTCACTTGGTCTACACGGCACCATAAGTGCACCCTCGTGGTTGAACCCATACTCCTCGGCTGCTCTCTCCAACAACTTTTGGAACGATGGGCGCTCAAGATGTGCTAAAGGTACCACGAATTTCTTTTCTTCATAGTCGTCTGCTGCAATCACAGCAAAATGACCTTTTTTCACAGGCACCGTTCCAAGGTTCGTGTTTCTAGGAGCCCATTTCTTGGCTTCCGAAAGTCTCTTTTGCAGCTTCTCTACCACCACTTTAAGCTTCAACATGCCATTGTTTTTGTTGGCAAGACTTTGAGTTTTTAGCTTTCCCATCTCGTATATAGTTTCTCTCTTTTTGATCAAACAGTTTGCACTATTTTCTACACTCTACCCCTTTCACCATGTGGACATCTTTATATAGACAACTTGTTCGTGTATTTGAATTAAGGTGGAAGTGTGGAACAGTTGCATGTGCATGTAAATTTAAGCCCAAAGACGAGTCATTGTTTATGTGGAGTCACATCTGTCGTTTACTATTTCTACAAATTCAATGTCAAAATTAATCCCAAAATTAGAGAATAAATATAGGCGGATTTTAGGCCATTTTCGTCAAAATAAATCATTGATTAGGATGATTAATTGGACAAGCAATAGTATCGGGGTGTTTGCGAATTCTTTTTTAAAAGAACCAAGTATTTTTTTTTTAATCTATGCGGCATACCGCGCAACTCAAAAAAATTTGGATGTATCCGTTTATTAGCTAGGTACCAAAAATATATAATATAATATAATAAGGTAATAAATTTGTTTGTATATTTAAAGTTACCAAAGAAACATCCTTATAAAATGTTGATAAGTGGCTGAAATGATCACATGATTAATGCTGAAATTAATGATAAAAACTAAATAATAATAATAATAATAATAAGCCTGAATCATATAAACAAATATAAAACGAATAGACTGCAACACCCGGAATCTAGAAGGTCAATTAAGGAAGATAAAACTTCATTTATAAGTCCAACTCGTCGAGTTCAAGGGGAAGAACTCGACGAGTTGGAAATTTGTCACGCGTGTTTTTGGAGGTCCAAGACGACGAGTTAGGGAGGTCCAAGACGACGAGTTAGACGGGGTTTGGGAAACCCTAATTCCGGGATTTTGTACCCTATTAAAACACCTTAAACCTCAGGAGTTAGCCTCATTTCCAGCGTCCACTGTCCTAAACCATAATCTCGAAACCCTAAGGCACTTTTGAGTGATTGTGAACCATTTTGAAAGTGTTGTGTGTGTTTGAAGCCACTTGGAAGGAAAGAAAGCTTGGGGATACAAGAAGGAGCTACTAGATCCAGAAACTCTTCATCAATGGCTGCATCTTTGAGGTATAAAGTCGCCACCTTGACTTGTAGTTAACTAGATCATCCTTCTTGAAGTCTTAGCTTGAATTTTTGGGACTTTGGTTGAGTTGTCTAAAGAGAAGAGGTTTCCAGGGGTTGATGGAGTAGATCTGACCCCTACATGACCTCTTGAGGCTTAAAGTTGCAAACTTTATTGGCCTCTAGGTCCCATTCATGCAATATGTCCATTATGAAGCCATAAACGAGCCCTAGAGGGTGTTTCTAGTATGCATGAGCGTAAAGTCGGAAACTTTACATGATTTTCCCACTTTGGAACACCAGATCTGTATTTTGGAACGTTGTAGTGGGAATTTAAGGGCTTAATGGGTCAAGACCTTCTTTAAGGAACCTAGGGTTTGAGTTTGACGCTTAATGGATTGTTCTTGAGGGTAAAGTTGGAAACTTTACCCTTCTGGACATCATTTTGGAAGAGATCTGAGGTTTGGAGTCCTTGGATTCAAGAGAAATGACTTAATACGTTAAATGTAATTGGCAGACTGAAGAACTCGATGAGTTCTTGGGTGAACTCGACGAGTTGATATGGGATTATCCCGATTCTGATGAAAAAGGGGCAACTCGTCGAGTAGTAGGAAAACTCGATGAGTTGGATCGCAATATCGCGATTCTGACTTTGGGGTGGACTCGACGAGTTGAAAAGTAACTCGACGAGTTAAGCCAACTCAGAGCGTTGACATTGACTTTAACTTTGACTTTGACCTTTGACTTTGGACAAGTTAGTCCCAAGGGGTGCTTGGAGTAAACTAAATTATAATGAAGGAGATTATGGGCTTAGGATAAGGCTTGTAAGAGGTTGGGGCCCAATTTTGAAAATTAGGCCATTGATGGATTTGTGGACATTATAGTGTTGGGCTTTTGTTTTGGGCTTGCACATTAGTTTTGGATCATACACTGCCAATGGTAGAATGATCATTTTACCCCATGTATAGATTAAGGATTATAACATGGAACCCAATTGCTATATTGATTGGTAGTGATAGCTCGGGAAGTGGACAAGGCAGCAGCTAAGGATTTCATTCGGGAAGCTTCTGCATTCGAGGTGAGTCTCCTCACAATACCAATGGGTCGAAGGCACCAAGGCCGGCCCACTTATTTGGTTGTGATGATTATTATGAGGGTGCTATAGATACATTATGTATTTACGATAAGACCATGTGGGGGTTCCCATGACAATTAGTTATATGCAGTATGCCAGTTGTCTTCGTGACTCTTGCATGTAGTGGTTATTTGCTAATGTGTTGTCAATATGTGATGTATTTATGCGAAGACCATGTGGGGGTTCCCATGGCAGTCAGTTAAGACCATGTGGGGGTTCCCATGGCCTATTATGTGATATGTGGTATAATAGTTGTTTATGTGATATATGATATGCTAGCAGTCTCTGTGATACTTGCATGGAAGACCCCGAGGGGGGTTCCCGAGGCAGTTGAATAACAGACCATGTGGGGGTTCCCATGGCATTCCAGGCTAAGACTATAACATCCCAAAATTACGACCAAAAATTTTCGTTTTTAAATATAATACTTATAAAACCATTTACTAAAAAACAACATCAACATCATTTCAAGTCATCAACCATAACCACATGTCTCAAAAATCATAACAGAAAGTAGTAATAATGTCAGAGTACAAATCCCATGGATCTCAAAATGCGGAAATCATGTGTGTGCGATGCGCTGCTACCGTGTCGGCTCCTTCCCTTTCGACGAAGAGGTACCTGAAACCAACACTGAAAACCGTAAGCACAAAGCTTAGTGAGTTCCCCCATCATACCACATACCAACAACATACATACTGTCGGGCGATTCTGGGGTGCCCGACCTACCCATGTCAAGCAGTTCTGGGGCGCTAACCTACCCATGTCAAGCAGTTCTAGGGTGCTGACCTACCCATGTCAAGCAGTTCTGGGGTGCTGACCTACCCATGTCAAGCTGTTCTGGGGTGCTGACCTACCATCCGGTTTATCGCAACCGGCTACGTGGACTATTTCACCCCCTACTACTACCACACAAACATAGCATAAACATACTGTCAGACATATATGGGGTGCCGACCTACCCTTCGGTCCTAACGACCGAACTCGGGGGTTACTCCCCTCCTACTACCACTAATACATACAACATATCATGCTAGCACATAAAACACATCAGGTAGTAGCAGACCTAGATAATTATCACAAAGACAATCATCTATCAACAACTCCTACTAGTGGGCCGACATTGTAGCCGTAGACCCACTGCTACTGGAAGGTAACTCACCTCGATGTCGTGTAGTGTCTGCACAGTCCTCGGTACGAAAACCCACTCGTCTCAACTCCTCAATCCCTACACAACAACCTTTCTTGATTACTAATTCATACTCACAACCTCCCTTACATACAAGGGTCAACTCAAGTCCAGGTCAAAGTCAAAGTAAAACCTAGTCAAAGTCAACTTTGGTCAAAGTCAACATCCAGTTGACTCGACTCGCCGAGTTGGTCCACCAACTCATCGAGTCCCTATCCTTACAAAATGCTACAACCACGACTCTACTCGTCGAGTCTAGCAAGAACTCGACGAGTTCTCCTTCAACCATAACATGGGGACCATCTTCAACCGACTCGCCGAGTTTATCCTTGAACTCGTCGAGTTCATCTTCATCCGCATGAATGTGTCCAGTCTATGACTCGCCGAGTTCTCCTTGAACTCGTCGAGTCCATCTTCATGTGGTTGGGACATTGCCTTGAACTCGCCGAGTTCGTCCTTGCACTCGTCGAGTTCTATGATCTTCAACTCCATGACAAACCCCGACAGGCTGAGTTTTCATTCAACTCAACCAAAGACCATTTCCAGAAGCGTTTGGGGAAAACTGTGACCCGACTCGCCGAGTCACCTAAGCGACTCGCCGAGTCCCTCTTTGACCAAAACTATATAGTCGATTTTAATCGGTCTTAATGCATCAAAATCATAGATCTGACCTCCTAGGGTCCATTTTATACGTAAAGCTACGGACTTGGTGTCCATACATGGGGTTTTTGGCTCAAAACGCTATAAAATGGGGTTTATAAGATGCATGGGATTCCCATGGCCATAAAGTTGGCACCTTTATGCCATGGGAACCCTCAATGGTTCCAGATCTGAAGCTAACACTCCACAATATGATCCAAACCTAAAGGTGGCTTAGAAAAGTCCCAAAAATGGCAAGATCCATGTCTTAAAGAAGATCTATCAAATGAGACGTCAAGGTTCAAGCTTTTTACCTTGAATAAACTGAAATGGAGGAGCAAATCTCTGGATCCACTTGCTTCTTCAAAGAACCCCCAGCTTTCCACTTCTTCCTTCAAGCTTCAAACAACTCTAAATACTCAAAAATGACTCAAGAACACTCAACAAGCTCTAGGGTTTTGAGATAAGGCTTTCTAGAAGTGAGAGGGACGATGGGGCTGGGTTGAGGCAAGATAAGTTGTTTAAATAGGGTGCAAACCCTAAATATTAGGGTTTCATCCAGACAGTCCTACTCGCCGAGTCGGTCTCCCGACTCGATGAGTAGGTTACTTAAAACCCGCGTCCAAAGTCTTGTCTACTCGACGAGTTGGGTCTCCAACTCGTCGAGTACCATAGTAAAAACATAAAATCTTTAAATTTAAAATACGTACCGGGAACCGGGCATTACAATCTCCCCAACTTATTTTAGACTTCGTCCTCGAAGTCTGCTGCTGCATCTGGAAAAAGCTCGGGGTAGTGCTCCCGCATCTCGTCCTCTGGATCCCACGTCCATTCCGAGCCCTTGTGGTGCTGCCATTGCACCTTCACCAGCTCGACCCTCTTGTTCCCTAGATCATTCGACTTCCTGTCGAGGATAGCTACTGGTCGCTCAATGTAGTTCAGACGGTCATCCACCTGAATATCCTCCAAAGGTACCACTGCGGAGTCGTCTACCAAA